TATATATATAATTCATCATCAAATACCACTAAACCAACTGCTTTTGACAGAAACAAAATGAAAGCTCTACAATAAACACCCAAAACTATTTTAAATAAATTCAAATGCTATCAAGTAAAACCAGCCCCCTTCAAATGTCTCCTCGCCTTTCCAAATTCCACTGTTTACTCAGGAGAGAAGAGGGAGGAACGGTCCCAAGCCTCAAAGGAAGTTCACATTCTACTTCCTTTATGACCACATAGGTTTCTGGATTACACAAATGTCAAATAACTGACCTGTAAAGCAAATGACTTACACAAACAAATGCCACTCTCCCACATGTAACGCTAACACAGCCTTCGACAGTTTGTACGTGCATGTCGCTGTATTACGCCGTGATTTTGTATTCTCTCTCAAACTCTTTCTCTCTCTCCGAAGAAGAAACACGATATCTGCTAAAACAAATATCTGTGAAGCAAATTTAACCAGTGCTGAATGGTTTAGCAACTGTTATTAAGGTCACTGTAATTTCAAGTCAGTGTTACGTCTGAACTTGGGAGGCTTGATGCAAAGACATCCACAGCCAAGTGGAAACAGATGTGGCGTAAAAGCAGATACAGCACTAGCCGACAGCTCAGCCCTTCTCTGAGGTCCGGCAGTTAAGATTAATATAGCCTAGACATTAGCATATACAACTGCTGTATGACGACCTGCGAGACTCCAATTCATTCTATTTACACAAGAGGCCAAAAACCACATTCTGCAATAACGTTGTCCATTACCCATTAGGAAGCTCGGGGTGACTCGAAGTCTTATCCAAACTGTACAATTATCTGATGTTTATACAATCGGAGATATCATCTTTAAAATTAATAAAGTCCAGGACGTTGCAAAACCAGAAACCCCAAATGGACTTGATTTTTGAAATAATTGTAGTTTTTTGCTTGCGTTCAGCGTATTTGCTGTTGGTCCTCAACACATTCGATTGAAAATGGTTTTATACATTTTATTCACATTTAATATTTATACATTTAATATGTATTGTCATCCTATATACGTTTCAGGATATTAAATGCTAAAATAAATTACATAAACCAATAAATGACCCCCGTGAAATATTTTACGGGTATTAAAAATGAATGATTGACCTCTAGCGAAACGTCACAATTTAACTGGGTAAAATACCGCAAACCTCTGTACACAAATAATAATACTGTTTGGACATTTAAAGATGCTGCTGGTGAGTTTCTTTTGTTTTAATTAACATGAATACAGTAAGAGAAAGGTAGACGGCCAAAACCAATGTGACACCACAGGTCCCCTCTGAGGTCAATAATCTTCTGAAATAATTGCCTGAATATTTAACTGAGAGAAGATGAAAAATCTCTCACAGTCATACATAATTGTAAATGCGCAATCCCCAGTCCAGCTGTGTACCCTTATTAATTATATCAATTTAAAGAGAACTCTTTCGGTTCATATGAAAGACGATAATTATAAAACTTTTTGAATGCATACAGCTTATTTCCATAAAACATTATTGTCCTAAATCTATTCATTGAGTGCTCATGTATGCATAAATTGGTTGAAATGAATGTTTAAACTCATCTTAACTCCATAACAACTGTGCAACCTCTTGAGGCTTGTGGCACAATAAAACAGGGTTGGATGAAAATTGTATTTCCTATTTACATCAACTAATGCACTTAGTTTAAAATAAATTGACTAAATGGTAATACAGAGTTGTGTCCCCTAAATGATTTCTGGATATTCAGTTTATTGTATTTAGTGTACATGAACTATTATTTCAGTTTCACCACACAGCTTTACAGTAGGTGAAACCTTTTTAAATGTGTGTTAGGAAGAAAAAGAGAAAGATATGGATCAATGTCCACTCTTTTTTTTTTTTTCATTTATTCATATAAACATCAGTGGGCATCAGTGGCAGCTCTGGCTCTCTCAGTGTCCTGTGAAAGTTAAGACAAAAGACATAAGATATAAGATAGGCTAGTCTGGTGGTGCATTTTTATTTTTAACATTAACAGGTAAAATTCCTATCAGCATCTGAACTTGTATTTTTAATTTTAAAGCAAATGATCTGCAGAAGCTGTTTGTTTGTTTGTTCGTTTGTTTCATTTCATTTACAATGATTGTAAAAAAACAACAACAACAGATGGGCTACTGATTGGCATGATACTTTATTTGCAAATGCTTTGGAATCAAGGGACAAACTATAAATGTGAATTTCAGTGATAATGAGCTCATGGTGGCTCATAGCAAAACGGCTGATTATTATTTTACCAGTCTGGATTTGGTTAACCCGGTCTAGTTGGGTTAAGGTAAACTCTGCTATGAATCAAGTCTCAGTTGCTTTATTTGTATTTCTGTTGATTTTAACCAGTGGAATATTGATTGAATTAGAGGTGTCACCACCTTCAGATTTTTATTTTCTGAAGGACACACTTGTGCTTGCAAGTCAACAAAAGAAAAGTTGTACCTTCAAATGTAAATAGATGGAAAAATAGAGAAGAGATTGGTAGAAATATATAAATGAATAAAATGAATATCAGCTGAATGCGCCATCTTCTCAGTCTAACAACACAATTCACAATTTCCAAAAATATTTAAGAAAGAAGATCAATCCGAATGCATCATAAACAAATATAACAAATAATTACAATGGTACCATCTCTTGGAAGTTTTAAACTAAGTTCACTGTAAGCAAATGAAAAATAATTAAATAAATAAATAAAACTGTGACTGACACCAAAGACTGAAATTATCT